AACCGTCTTTAAACAACACCAGTTGTTTAAATTGTGATTTTAAACAAGTTGTTCAAAATGTTGATCAACTAAGTGTTTAAACTTTAAACAACTCGAGTTGCTTAACATTTTAAACAACTCTTAGATCAGGTCACCCGTTAATCAACAGTTGTTTAAACTTTTAAACAACATGTTCACTAAATTTTTAACTGTGTACTACCCCTCCCTAAAATAAGATCCTAGCTCCGCGCCTGCATCAAAATATATAGCTATGATGCTGACTAAGTTGACGAGATAATCCGTATATTTATGTCGTCGAGGAAAATGACCATTTTGCGCATATGCAAGTACTATACACAGTTAAAATTTTTGTGAACAAGTTGTTTAAAAGTTTAAACAACTCTTGATTAACGGGTGACCTGATCTAAGAGTTGTTTAAAATGTTAAGCAACTCGAGTTGTTTAAAGTTTAAACACTTAGTTGATCAACATTTTGAACAACTTGTTTAAAATCACAATTTAAACAACCGGTGTTGTTTAAAGACGGTTGTTTAAAACGGAGCTGTTGTTCAGTGGAGGTTGTTTACACCAACTGGGTTGTTTAAAGAAAGTTGTTTAAAAAGGAGCTGTTGTTCAGTGGGGGTTGTTTACACCAACTGGGTTGTTTAAAGAAAGTTGTTTAAAAAGTAGCTGTTGTTCAGTGGGGGTTGTTTACACCAACTGGGTTGCTTAAAGAAAGTTGTTTAAAATGGAGCTGTTGTTCAGTTGGGGTTGTTTAAACCAACTGGGTTGTGTAAAGAAAGTTGTTTAAAAAGGAGCCGTTGTTCAGTGGGGGTTGTTTACAACAAAAGGGTTGTATAATGGGGTATAATTTGGGTTTGATACTCTGAATAAGTGCACCACTACTTCTGGGTCTCTATATAGGTATATGAAGACTAGGGTAATTCTGCAATTCATGAATTAGCGCCAAAACAGTGCCCATTTTGCATGAGCGCGCATGCACGCACGTATAAACTGCATATATAGGGATGCATACAATCTCTATGGCAAGGAATTTAGCACACGTTATAACCGAGTGCGCGATCAGTGCCGCACTGCATGACGCGACGATTTTAAGTCTACCTATATTCTTACATTTGCGTACAGATACCGAAAATTTTAACTGAACTTACGCTATAAGTTAAAAACTTCAAATTGGTTAATAGAAAAGTGATTTCAATTAAGCCATTGAATCCCCAGTCACTTAGAAGCGTGTCGGTAGCTTGGTCGGCCATGATGTGTGTTGTGTTGTGGGTTGGAAAGTAATAACTATTAAGCTAAATAAATGTAAGTATAGAGACAAACAAAATGGAGCCTGCAGAAACACGTGTGGTTGCTTTGGTAGTTTAATCCAGACTCAATGTCCATGTGCTTTTACATATGTATCAATCTGTGTAGTCAACAGAAGACCCTTGCATACACTTGCATTGTGTGTATGCATCTAATATGAATAACAATGAGCTGTGCCTTAACAGCTGCACTGCATTTCTAAGTGGCATGTCAATTTCAATTGCATGTTAGTTTCAAGGAACCTGTTTCTAAACATAACAATGTGCAATAAAGCCTTTAGCCAACACGCACTTTACTGGCACGAGACACATGACGTCATATGTAAACAACACTGTCTAAAAGCTCTCGTATAGCAGTCATTAAATTTTAAACAACGAATGTTTAACAAAATTACTTCTGTTTCGAGCAACATTGTTTACAATTTGATCAACTGTTGTTTAAGATAGTGTACAACTGTAAGTGAACATCACTTTTTTAAACAGCGTTTTTACTGTGTAGATAGTCCATAGGAAAAACAATTTAGCCTTCGGCCCCGGGTTTATAGGGTTAAATTTGTAGATATTGGGACATTTAATTGTGTCGGTAATTGGTGTCTAGTTTTGTCGATAATCGTTGGCCTCTACACCCCCCCCCCCCCCTCCAACTGAAAAAGGTCTAGCGACGCCCCTGGAGATGGGTACCAATAATCAGGGCATGCATGCTTGGCCTGCTCGTATTTCACTATTGTGATACTGCATGGTTCAGAGAATTAAAACAAATGTTCGGAAGTCGCAACCATCACATTTGTTTAACTGTGATAGTCCATTGTTCACAGAAATAAAAGAATTGTTCACTTTTGCGCTAATGCATTGATCAAAGAATGAATGAATTGTTGGAAATTACATCGATAACAAATTTTTTCACTATTGTAATACTGCATTGTTCAGATAACGCACAAAATGGTTCTGAATTCCGTTTATAACAATTTTTTTCCATTCTGTGAACCTGTAATATTCAGAGCAGGAAAAATTTATTTCGAATTGCATCAATCAGAGATTTTGGCATCAAATAAAATCTTTGGAGTGCTGATCAATTCATTAAAAATAATCTACAAAAACTGCACAAAACTGCAGAAAATTGATCACAATTTTTAGTCTAACATGATTTCGGTTTATCCCAAGCAGCCTCAGTACCTTACACAGTAGTAATTTCAGACAGGTTTTTTTTTCTGCACCATGATCAAAATAAAAACCATCTGAATAATCCAATCACATTCTCTAAACCATAAATAATCAAAGATTGGCTATTGGACTATCAAGAAAAAACAAACATGTCATAGTATTTCATTTTGTAGTACTCATATGAATTCTTACCGAACACAAACAATGCTGAAACATGTAAAACAATTGCTTAGGCCCTTGTGTGAATTTCATTTTAAAGAGCTGCTTTAAAGAGCAATCTAACCCTAGTAATAACGAGATTTACAGAATGGCAAAAGTTTAAAATGAAGCAGATCGATAATGAGAAAGTTATGAATGTTTTAAATATGAGATATGAGGTTCCCATGTGTCCTGTTTTGTGAGGGTGTCCACATTGAAATTTTTAAGGACTGTATGTGTGGGCCCCCATCAAATTTGGGCGACTAAAATTTTGGGTGCACATGTGTCTCCGGCACCTGGCAGTGTTGTTGATCCATACCTCTCGGTGAGTTTGAACTCTCCGTCTTGCATAGCCGGAATCTTCATCATTGGACTGACGGCTGCATACTCCTTGGACTGGTGCTCACCTAAAAGATCAAAGGTTACAAAGCAGGGCATGGCAATGAACAAAAGATAACAGAATAAAGAGATGGAAATTCTTTCCTTTTTGAATACAGACCTCTTTACAGAGTATTACAGAGTATTACAGGTGGACCACTACACCGGGGCTTCCCCCTACTCTTATACAAATAGTGCAGTAGGTTCTTAACGTGCAAAGGTAGTGACTCTTCTCTACACGGGGCCTCCATTTAACGTCCTATCCGAGAGATGGAGTGTTTTCCACTTAACATTAAAGGTAAATAATAATACAAAGTTTTGGACAATTTTGAAAATTGAGTGTATAGTGATTCTTTACAATTTTGATATATTTGGATGTCCCTGTGGATGTCGTATAAAAACTAGAAAATTTAGACCCTAAAACACTTCTGCTTTCGAGAAAAATTGAATATAAAAATTTTCGGGAGCAAAATAATAAAGCTGAGTCGTTGCGAAATTTTGGGCCCGATTTTAACCCCCCCCCCCTCCCCCTCTTGAAAAAATCCTGCGTACGCCACTGGCCAGGATAGTAATACAGCTATGTGTGCCATGGCCCGATGGGCCCGAGGGCAGGCCCATGTCTTTCAATCGACATTCAGCAGAACCCCTCGATACACACCCCCCCCCGAACTCTGGCAGAGAAATAGATAGAATTAGTACGTGCACTTCTTCCCCCCCCCCTTCCACAGGGTTCTTTATTTTCAAAACAAATTCCATCATATACAGCATATCCATATATCATATACTAATAATTAAAGAAATAATTTCCATACATAATGGCTTGACACAGATAATAACCATAATAACTTTTATGACAAAATTAGTACTTTAAATATATAATAAAAAAATACCAAACATAAAATACATGATCATGTTTATGTTAGCACATTTCAAACACTCTCAAAATATTTTCTAAAGTGAAACAATTTCTTTTTCAATTTATTCTCTCTGAGATTTGTTTGGTATATATATTTTTCCATTTCATAATAACGTTTTACAGCTGATAAAATTATATCAAATGATGGTAGTTGATTTCGTAATTTAGCTGAAAATATCTCTTGTCTTACAACCATCAGAACACAGTTGAGTGCATTATTATTGCTACCGCAAAATCCAAACAATTTATTTTGATTTGTAAGTTTGATCCTTTCCCCCGTCTCACGAAATATCCAGAACTCTAACTTCGACCATACTTTGTTAGAATAGTTACAAAAGCAAAAAACGTGCACTTACTTTTTCGTATGGCTATTGGACATGGAGTGTATGGGATCTTGTTTGCTCTCACAAACATCAACACCGACCTCGCAGGGTGCGACAGTACGTCGTAGAATATTTTAACAGACATTTTGCAACTTATTTAGGCATTAAATGGTAGAAATAACGATGCTTTTTACTGGCAGGTGATAACCTTGTGCGATGTCTGGACACCAATTATTCTGAGATTTGTTACGCCAGTACGTAAGTACAACGCGCGTGCGCGACGTGCACCATATGCATTGATATGCATGCACGATATCGCGCGCATGAAGAATATCGCTAATGTTTTTTCTGAGAACGAGACCGCAGCAGACAAAATAAAGAAGTTGAAATTATTTTTAGTGGATGTTCACCCCGTGAACACCTTTATACGCCACATTTCAAATCACATAGCGAGATACCAAAACGGTCTTCCATTAGAATAAAAATAGAAATATAAACAGAAATTGGTAATAGAAATAGAAATTATAGAAATCGATAAAAAAGGAAAATACAAATAAGAAATAGAAATTGATTTTGTAGGAGAGCTCTAAGATGGCGGCGTAATCGGTCTTTTGGCGAGCCGTGACGTCAATGCATAAGGTCTATACGGCAATGCGTTCCTCGATCTACCCACTCCTGCTGTTGCTGCTATAATGCTAGCTACTACTACTGTTTCCTAATGCCGGACAAGAGATTAAACTCCCCGTCCAAAAACGGTGATTCGATCGAGAAAAAACAAAGAAAGTTGCCCGTTGATTGTCAGCGATCCAACGCCATGTCTTCGCCAGCCGGCCCCGGCAGCTCCCGAGTGAGTGACGCGGCCGCTGCGGCCCCTGTTTGGTTCATAGAATATGAGAGGCGTTTGGATTCAAAGTTTGATGACCTGCATAAGAGACTGGATTTTCATGAAGCTGCTTGTGAAGAAAAGTTCCAACATCTGGAAAAGGAATTGGCTGCAGCTTTTGATAAGATTGACGACCTTGAGAATAGATCTCGAAGAAACAATCTAATCTTTTTCAACTTCCCTGAAGGTGAGGAGCCTGATTCTGCCAGTGGATGCAGTGAGTTGATTTCATCTTTTTTGGCCTCTATTGACAAGAATCTTGAGCATGTTCAGATCGAGAGGGCTCACCGCACGCCGCCAGGTCCACTATCATCTCGTGGACATCCCCAGAATGGCAGCCAGTACAAGCCGAAGGACCCGGTGGGGTCACTCAATGTGACTTCCGGACCGCATGACCGTTACCAAAATCGCGGAAAAAGGGGTCAATTTCAAGCAATGTCCGCGGACAAAATATTCCTCGAAATAAAGAAAATAGGGGTGCACAGGTGTCCTCGAAATTGATAAATAGGGGTCAGGAAAAGGGAAAAGAGAAAACCGGGAAGGGAAAAGAGAAAACCAAGAAGAAAAATTCTCGGAGCCGAGTCTTGTCCTTGAAATATGGTAAAATAGGGGTAAATTTGCGAAAGTGTCCTTACAATCTTATAAATAGGGGTATTCCAAAGTACGATTTTGTCCTTGTTTTGACGTAAAAAAGGGGGTTAAATTTCACAAAATGTCCTTGAAATTGACCGCAAAAGGGGGTTATATGCATTTGTGGTAACGGTCATGCGGTCCGGAAGTCACATTGAGTGACCCCACCGGGCCGAAGGATCGTCCAATTCATGTTTGCTTCAGTTCGTTTCAAGATCGAGTGAGGGTCCGGAAGGCATGTGTTGCTGCGTTCAAGGAGGGGTTCAAGTTCAAAGAGAGATCAAAGTTGTATGTTGCAGAGGATTTCAGTCATCGCGTTCAGGCTCGCCGTAAATCTCTCCTGCCTGAGTTAAAGATGTTGCAGCAACAAGGAAAGCGAGCATTCTTTGTATACCCTGCGACAATTAAGTATGTCCAAGATCACCAGCTGAAGGTTCACAAGCCAGGTGTTTGAATTGCATCTGTAGTACATCATAACAACACTGTGATTATCATAGTGGCTGTCTCGTACAAACCGTCTGACTTTCACAGAAAACTTTTATATTTTACAAGATGACATGCCGTGAACTTAACGCGTTTTAACTTGCTGGACACCAGATTAGTTTAGTGATGTCAGTCTTTTTAAACATATTTTGTTTACTTAAACTTTTTTAGGAATTCTCGGGGTGCCCTGGAGGTGCCTTGTTTTTGGTTACCCACGATTCACCATTGGGGATAATAGTTTTTATTGTTCTTATCCTTGTTGATACTGGTTCATTATGATTAATTATGAGGCTCTAAGGTTTTCTCATTCTTGCCACATACTGTTGGCTGCCTTTACAGTTTGTTTTGTTTTTGGTGGGTGTTTGTGCGTATGCTTTTTTCACTGAGTGTGTGGTGTGTGCCCTTTTCCCAGGGGTTCTTTATCATGAATCAAATTGTGTAAATTTTTAGGATATTACTTGTTTTGTCAACTCACTGTTGCTACTCTAGGTTTTTACTGTTATATGATGTTACAGATTAATACTTTTAATTGCAGAGGACTGCATGACAATTTTAAAAGAAAGAAAGTTTTTAATTTTTTAAGAGAATTTGGGAATGATATAATCTTTCTTCAGGAAACCCACTCTAGGATAGATGATGAGAAGCTGTGGCGTACTCAGTGGGGAGGGGAGGCAGTTTTTGGCAGCTATGGTTCCAATAGCCGAGGTGTGGCTATCTTGTTTAAAGCTTCTTTGAAAATATCAGTCTTATCTTTTCACCTGGATCCTGAGGGAAGATATATTATCCTCCATGTTAATGTTAATGATGTACACTTTATTCTTGTCAACTTATATGGCCCTAACAAAGACTCACCAGATTTTTTTGTTAATGTTTTTGCTAAGTTAGATGAAATAGGTAACTCTCATGTTATTTTAGCAGGAGATTTGAATATTGCGGTAGGCCCTTTAGATTATGAGGGTTCTAATGCAACCCACTCTAATGCTCGTGCCAAATTGCTTTTAATATGTATGTAGAAGAATTAAGTCTTGTAGATGTATGGAGAAGAGATCATACTCATGATAAGATTTTTACACGCCATCAGAAAATTCCATTTGTTTCCTCCGGGTTAGACTATATTTTTATTTCTAGTGATTTGTTGGATTGCGTAAAGAAATCTAAAATTGTGACTGGTATTTGTTCTGATCATTGTATGGTAACACTAGCACTGTCACTAAATGATTCACCTCGGGGCAAGGGATATTGGAAACTGAACACTGCACATTTGAAACATTCAGAATTTTGCAATTTCATTAAAGACAAAATTAATGAATTTAAGGAATTTCATGCTGAATGTGATCTAAATCCACATATTATTTGGGATGCATTCAAATGCACAATGGCTGGTCATTGTATGGAGTATTGCAGTAGAAAGAAAAAAGAAAAGAATTTGACTAAGAGTAATTTACTAAAGAGTATATCCTTACTTAAAGAAAAAATTGGTTCATTGAAAAAGGATAATAGTTCAAATGAAGAACTGCTAGAATTATATAGCAAATTAGAAGTTGAAGAAGCACAGTTGAATGAACTTCTGGATACTGAAACTGCTGGCTCTATAGTAAGGTCTAGATTAAAGTGGGCTGAACACGGAGAAAAAAGCTCTAAATACTTCTGCAATTTAGAAAAACGGTCCTATGAAAGAAAAACTATACGCCAACTGAAGGCGAACAATGAGCAAATCATCACTAATCCTAAAAGAGTACTTCAGGAAATTCATTCTTTTTATAAAGCTCTATACTCTTCAGAGGTATCTCTTGAGGATAGGGACACTATCAAGGATTTTATCGCCCCTTTGAATATACCTACCTTATCAGATGATTCAATTTCTGCTCTAAACAGACCTTTAACCAAAAATGAACTTTGGACTACATTAAAGAATATGGGAACAAATAAGAGTCCAGGACTAGATGGCCTTCCTTGTGAATTTTATTTAACCTTTTTCAATGATATCATAGATTTATTACTCCACTCTTATAATTATTCCTTTCAAGAAGGAATTTTATCACAATCTCAAAGAAGTGGAATAATCACACTTCTTCCAAAAAAGGGTAAGGATCCATTGTTAGTGAAGAATTATCGCCCTATCTCTCTACTGAATGTTGACTATAAATTATTAGACAAAGTTATGAGCTCCCGTTTGAAGTCTTGTATAAATTCTTTGATACATACAGATCAACAAGGGTTTATGAAGGGACGCAACATTGGGGCCAATATTCGGGTTATAATTGATTTAATTGAATACACAGACTATATGAATGAGCCAGCTACAATTATTTTGTTAGATTTTGAGAAAGCGTTTGATAGAATAGAACATGATTATTTATTTTCAGTCTTGGACTATTTTAATTTTGGAGACAATTTTATAAGATGGATAAGGTCTTTTTACAATGACAGAACTAGCTGTGTGTTAAACAATGGTTTTATGTCCAATCCGGTTGCAATTAAAAGAGGAATATTCCAGGGGTACCCAATATCCCCTCTTTTATTTATACTAGCTATTGAAATTCTGGCTATTTCAGTACGACACAATCCAGGGATAAAGGGAATTTCAGTTGGCAATTTTGAACAGAAGATAAGTCTTTTTGCAGATGACACAACTTGTTTTTTGAATGGGGAAACAGTTTCCTTTAAACATTTATTTGAAACGTTGACTCAGTTTGCAAAATTTTCAGGTTGTCGCATTAATTTAAGTAAGTCAGATGCAATTCATATAGGAAAGCTGAAAGGCAGTACAGTTATTCCGCAAGATGCATTAGGGTTGAATTGGAAATCAAAAACGTTTAAGGCTTTAGGAGTGGTTTTCTCATTGAACACAAAAATGCTTTACGAACTGAATTTTGTTCCCAGACTTGTCATTATAGAACAGATTTTAAATTGTTGGAGGCATAGAAGCCTATCCTTGTTGGGCAAAATTGCTGTTGTAAAGTCGCTTTTACTCCCCCAAATGTTATTTTTGTTTTCAGTATTATGCATTGACCTGCCAAACTCTTTCTTTAAAAGATTAAATGGTTTGCTTTTTAAATTCATTTGGAGCAATGGCAATGACAGAGTTAAGAGAGATATATTATGCAATGATTATGAAGAAGGGGGTCTAAGGATGATTAATCCTTTAGTTTTTTGCACAAGCGCAGAAAGTTTTGTGGATGGCTAAACTCTTAGACGATAAATATGAAAGTTGTTGGAAAACAATAGAAATATATATTCTTTCTACCTTTTGTGATGACCATCTTGCCTTTTTTAAGGCAGATGCCCCTGATTCGGTTTTGGCAAAACTTAAAAATTGCCAGTTAACAGCGTCTATTAAGACATGGTATTTATAAAGGCAAGAGATGAAAAGAGAACTAGGTTTATGTCAGTTTCATTTACAAGATTTTATTTGGTGGAATAGAAATGTAAGATTGCAATATAAAACACATTTTTTCTATCCAGTTTGGTATGAAAGGGGTATTCATTCCATTTTTCAATTACATAATGGTTTTGGTAACCCCAAAACATTTGAAGACCTCGTAATTGAGTTTGACATTCCTATTAGAGACCAAAGAAAATATGACTCCCTCGTGAATGGCATATTTTTGGAGTGGTTTGATAATTCTCTTAATGTGGATGACAATATATTTAATCAAATTTTTAAAGATCTATTAAGTCAAAAGAAAATGTCTAAGTATACATACAATATTTTGCTAAAGAAATATAGTTGTACTAATGCCAAAAGGGAGAGTAAATGGGAGGAACTCTTTGGCCATCAACCCAAAGAGAAGGATTGGTCGATTATTCATACGAGTAACTTTTGTTGCACAATTGAGACTCAGTTAAGGAGTTTTTATTTCAAATTTTTCCATAATGCTATTGGTTTTAATGCATTTTTGTTCAAGATTGGGAGAAAGGAGTCTGCTAATTGTTATTTTTGTTCAGATTTTCCAGAAACTTTAGATCACTTGTTTTTTGACTGTAGGAGAGTTGTACCACTGTGGGAAAAATTGGTGGATAAGATTAACACTGGCACTGATCACAGTTATAATCTGACTCTGTCAAAATTTAATTTTTTGTTTGGGATACAGTCAAGGGACAAATACGCCTCTTGTATAAATTGTCTCTGTTTATGTTTAAAATATTACATTTATTCATGTAGGTTTCAGGGAAAAGAACTTATTTTCGAAGCATTTGTTTCAATGGTAAAGTTCAAACAAAAAAATAGAATATAAAATTTCCCAAAAGAAAAATAAGTTACAAGTCCATTTTAAGAAATGGTCTATCAATTTTAACTGAAATTTAGGAGTAGTCTTGCAAAGCTCTGTTGTCATTAACATCTTCATTGGCTTTTTGAATTGTAAACTAGCCCTCTGGGAAAGTATATGAGTGTGAGTGTGTGTGTGTGTGTGTGCGTGTTTATGGGTGCATGAGTGCGTGCCTGTTTTGTAGTTTTAAGATGATATTATATTTTATATTGCTGCTTTTACTCTGTTAATTTTTCAGAAAAAACAATAAAAACAGAAAGAAAAAAAAAAGAAAAAAAGAAATTGATTTTGTATTTCTTGTTTTAAAATGGCTAAAAGTTTATTGCACTTTTACGTCTGAGCGCGTGCAGGAGCAAGGCTGCAAGGTTGCATTTTACGCATCTTGATTGGCTGACAGTTATTTCTCTCCTATTATGACATCACAATCAATGAAACCGTACACACACCGATGCATTGTGATTGGCTGAAAGGATTTCTCGCACTTTCATTATGACATCACAATCAGCTCAAAAGACATGATTGCGCAGCCACTTGTTTAAGCGTCGTGATTGGCTGAAAGTTTCATCGCCCTTTTGTGACATCACAATCACAGTTACTACGATCGCAATAAGTAAACAATTAAACATAAAATTTAAAATGCTAGCTAGGAGCCGTCCAACCAACAATAAGGCCGACCAGAGACTATTTATCGACACTTAACCCTATGACATTTTTCGCGATAATTTTTTAACGCACTGAAATTTTGTGACTTTTTTCTTTTGAGTCTTGCGCATCTTTTGAAAGAAATTTTTCGAAAAT